CTCTTTTCTTTAAGGTTAAATAGAAAAGTTAGGGTTCCTGGCATAGTCCATAGACTAGCGTATTCACTTTCCTCATTGCTAAATGGCTTTTTAGAATTAACGTAAATATTTAAGGCCTGGCATATCCAATCCTCAAAGGATCCAAATATTGGCCGGAATAAGCTATCTGCCCTAATTTGTTTTTCCCTCCAAACTTCCATACAATAATGGACCATTTTTTCCTTGCTCTTTCCTTTCCTCGAGGGAAAGTTTTCCCAGTACTTAATCATAAGTCCTAGTGGGCTATCTGGTGGTATATCTGGTAGTCTCCCCTTTTGTTTGGGACCACCCATGGGATCAGAAGGCTTGCTCTTCTTCTGTCTCATCTTCTGGAGTGCCCTCCTTTCACTCTCACGCTCGCTCCCCTTATTCGTGACCCACGCCCTCGCGGGCTGTGGGAACTGCACTACTAAAGGGTCCACACTCGCTTGGTCTCTCATAGAGACCTCTCAGTCACTCACACTCCAGGATTCCCAACCCCGACCGAACGGATTCCCTTGCAACACTGCAATACTTACTCAACCACCTTGAGTCGTCATTCGGGTCTTCGTGCACAAAAATTACGGGGTTCTGCAGTTTCTTTTGCTTACTTTCCTGATTTTTTGGGTTCGAAATTACAGGTCTCTGTACGGAGATCACCCATTCCAGGCCGTCCAAAGACGGGGCGCCTCCCCAGGTTGAGGATCCCGTATCAGAGTTACCTGTATCTGAGTCACGGCACCAAATTGTTATATATTATGCCAAACAAATTGAACAACCCAATTATACATTCTGGAAATCGTCTTTTATTAAAGCAAGCAAGTAAGCAAAACAGCGCTGGGCGGCCGGGGAGTCTCTGCTCCACCAACGGCGCGCGCTTTCCCTTTCCAGCTGACAGTCTTTATACAGTTCACTAGCCTGTGTTTGTGGCTTCACAATATCTCTTGCGCAGGCGTGGTCCTGTTGTTAGACAGCCATCCTTTGTCTTGTCAGATGGGGAGGCCTGGGATCTTTGCAATACATCCGTTCCTAATCCTTACGCAGCATCTTTAAAGCTGTGTAAGTCCTGGGGTCCATACCTTAAATTGCTGTGTTTGTTGGTGTTTCCGGATGTCTGTAGTAGGAAACTGGCCTCTGCTGTTGTTGCAGTTTACTAGTGATAAGCTTACAAATGATTTGATTAACAAACAACAGATTGCTCCTATTACATCCTTACCTCTTCTTCTAGGTAAGGACATCCCTGTTACACCTTGCTCAACTTTGCCTTCCTCAGTTTGTTTTCCCAAACCCTTTTCACTTTCCAAACTCTCATCATCACAGCCATTACTAACATTATATTTCAGTTTCACCCCCTTCTCTCCCCAGGCTTCCAGTGCTCACACTGGATATCGGGTTTCCCCAGCTCTGCAGATGCCGGCTATTCTCACTTCCAACGTCCCGTCCCATCCCCATTCACAAGCACTGCACCCTTCACATCACAGCAGGAGGCTCCAGTCCCCAGCTCTTTCTCCCACTCCAAGTTGTTCTTATAAGCCGCAGTGGGGGGGAATGCAGGGGATGTGTTCTCGTGCCGGCCCAACACTAATGTCCCAAACTCACTGTTTTCCTTAACCTTTTTGCCATTTTTTTTGTTTGTTTGTTTGTTTTTCCACAATTCCACTATTTGTACCCTCAACAATTCCACATACCATTAACAATTGCATTTCCGCATACCATTAAAAACTGCATTTCCACATAATTTCCATATACCCTTAACAACTGCATTTCCACATACCATTGAAACTGCATTTCCACATAATTTCCACATACCATTAAGACAGTTTCTCCTAGTGCCTTCAAAATCCACAAATCAAACAACACAATTCCTCAAATTCCACAAACACCCAGCACTTGGTCTCATGATTAGGATACTCAATTATAAAACTTGTCCCATTTCTCCATTTACGTTCCTGATTTCTTATTCAATATTCCCCCTGGCTCACCAACAATGTTTCTCCAGTGAGCCAAAGTACAACCCAAGGGGTCTTCTCATATCACTTTAGACACCCCTTGTTCCATAACAGCCTCGTACACAACATAACACAACACTTTCAGGACATAAACATTTAACAATCACAAAGCCAGTGACAATAATCAGTACAATTTATCCTCAGGATCCTTCTCTCTCTGCCTTCCTCCAGAGCTCAACCTTCCCTCTGTATTCATTTCCCACTCTTGCATAGCTGCCAGCCTCCTTCTCCAATAATCAACATATCACCGATAAACATCATTTCCATCCATGAGTACAAATTAGGCCCTAGAAATTGATCTAATTGTTCTGCTACACTTTATAGGATCCTCAGTTAAGGAATTCTTCTTGAAACTCCTAACTTCTCTTCTAGTAAAAACAGCAGGCATTACCATACCTTATTTCCCTTTGACCTAAGACTGCCTTAAGAGGACAAAGTGAAGTATTAGTAAGGTTAGTATTAGAGAAAGAAAAACTATCCAGGTCCCATTCGCATTACTCCAACTCCCTCAGTAATTGAGAGCGCATCCTCTCTCCAGGACCCTGCACAGATCAGCAGCACCCACTCTCCTCCTCTGGAGAGGTCACCACTGCTTTAGAAATTGCACTGCTTTAGAAATTAAAGGGGGGAAAGTTACCTAAGGGATCCCATTTATGATCTTTCTGCTTCTCTTTCCTATTTCCTTTGAACTTGGACTCCTCGCGAGGCACATTTCTTTACTTCTTGCACTCATTAAGCGACCTAAGCCAATTCTGTTTCAGAAAAGGAGTCTTACTGTTTACATATAAATACAAAGTCTGATAGGCCCAATTTTCTTCAGACTCCTATTTTGGTCAAAATAATGATTTTCCCTGTAGTGGCTCTCTACTGTATACAGTATTTAAACATCTTTTCCCTGTTCTTTTCCTAGTTTTGGGATTATTTTCCAATTTTGAAACACTTCTCCCAAGGGGCTGGCTCTCTCTAGGCACCATTCCGGGGACCTTTATCCCCTGCTCTCGGGAACTCCTATTACCCATCCCTCCAGAACGCTACTGTGAACTCCCCAGCTCACAGGTTACCACACTCTGATTCTTGGATTTTGGGCCCAATCCCTCAGGAGTACTATACTCCTGTCTCGGATTAATAGGGGTGTACTGCTGGCACTTCGTCAAGTGCACAGGGTACCGCACACCAACAGTTCCTTCCCGAGACTCTTCCTTTCACCAACACAGCTGCTTCGTCCGTCCCTGGCCGTGCCCCTCGCGGGACAGCGGAACCGCAGGTCGGGACTCAGCACTCGCTTCGCACTGACAGCGCGTCTCAGTCACACACACTCAAGAGTCTCAACCGACCCCCAAGGAAAGAGTTAAATCCCCTTACCTTGGTCCGTGCACGAAGTTACCGGGTCGCAATGGCCAACACCCGTGCCTACCTGCCCCTTGGCTTTCACAGAGCCCGTCCTTTTTGTAACAGTCTCGGTTTTTTTATCGGCCATACCAAGGAGTCACCTCACCACCCAGACAGGACCGCTGAAATCAGCGGGGTACACCTATCCTGTGCAGGGCAGTAGGGAAACTCCTAAAGAGGCGATAATAATCCCGGACGAGCCCCCAAATTGTTGGAAATAATCCAAGTAATTTTTGTCAGGACGGTATCTCTGATAAAAGCAGGTTTTATTCACGATTGCAATGGCGGGCGTCCCACAAGTAGGAGCGCAACTATGGACACAACATGACAGCCTTTATACCCTGTTTTCTCCCCCTTGCCTCCCCCCTCCCCTGTTTCCCCACTGGCTGGGTACTCCAGGTTCACAATCTTATCAGAAGGTTTACATTTGCTATTTACTTGTTCATTTATTTGTTATCTGGTGAGAGTGAGCAGCCATCCTGTTGTTTCCAAGATGTCTCGGTGCTCTCCTTGTCCTATTGATATGGTGATTTTCTTTAAAGTCATCATCGTTAAACAAAGAGCACTGGGGGATGATGTCAGGCCTTCCCAATGTCAGGCACTTCCTCGGGCATGCCATGGCTTGTTCTCTGGTTTGCTCTCGTGCAGGATATTCTTGCAGTGTGTATGACAAAATAGACATATATACACCTGTATACAGAGCGTGTGTTCCTGGGAAGGTTTGTCTAGAGGATAAGTGATGTAAACTTATCAGAGATCTTCCCCAAGTTAAGTAGAAGGACTCCCAAAAAGAACTATGATAGCGGAGATCATAAAATAAAAATAATATTATACAATTCTAATGCAGAAACAACACTTGATTCTCACATATGGAATTAACATCTGCCTGCTTTGCAGCAAACAGCTGCTTGTCAAAGGAGGGAGCAGCCAAAAATACAGTGGAGACTGCACTATTCCATGTCCACATTTTGTTGTGCTATACACCTGTGGCACTGGAGCACTGCTGGCTCGAGCAGGCCGTGGTCCTGTGTTGCGTTGGCCCTACACTTGGCTCCGGGGTTGTGTAGAGCAGGAGGACTGCATCAGCATGCACTACCTGCTCCTTTGTGTGCTGAAAGGCATAACAGGGAGTGGGCCTCAGGCGCCCAAACCCGGGGAGGGTAGGGGAAGGCCCCTGGCTACTGCTCCTTGCCCTAGGGTGCCTTCCAGTGGGGGCCGCAGCCGTGCAGGGCCCCGAGGCGTGGAGCCCGGCGTTGCCCGTGGACACGGTGGGGATGGGGCCTGCCCCGACCTTAGTGCGAGGGCTCGGTGCGGTACTCCTGGCTGGGGTGGGCTCCGTGGTTGCTGCGCTGTGGCGTGTGTTGGCAGCGGAGGGCCGCAACCCATCTGGCGCCTCCCCCCCCGCCTTGCTCTCGGTCGACCGTGGAGCGCTGGGGCTGTGCAGTCCTCCCCGCCCCCGGCTCGCTTCCAGAGCTGCTCCGCCGGGAATCGCACGGAGCGTTTCCCCCCTCTGTACGAGCCGCGGCTCCCCCTGCTTCCTGTAGAGCTGCTGCCATTATGCTCTGCTGTCTCCTGGCCAGGCCTCGCGGCGGGCGGGTGGCTGGGGCGGTGCAGACCATAGCCATACCCGGCCGGGCCCGGGCCGCAGCAGGTGTGTGTGCATGGGGGTGGAGGTTGCATGTGGTGGGGGTCGCCTTCTCCCAGCCTCGCAGAGTGCAGCCTGCTCTGCACAGCGGGGCCTCGGCTCTGGGGTGTCGCGGCGGCGGCATCTGTTTATCGCTTCTCCCCCTTCCTCCTTTACCGTCTCCGCGGGGTCCCTCCCCTGCCTGAGGCTCTATAGGGCCGCCGAGGGGCGAACGGGCCAGGCGGGGGATGGGCTAGAGGAGCGGTTCCCGTGTTGTTCACGCGTGGGGCCGTCTATGTGGAGCAGCCGGGGCTAAGGCGGCACAAGAATTTGGCAGTGTTCCCCCAGAGTGGGGTGCAGATGAAGGTTGTGGGGTAGGTGCCAGCTCTCGGTGCTCTCCACGGAGAAGGGACTGCGGGTCGTGCCGACTTCTGCTCACAGTTACAGGTGCAGTCGCAGAGGGGCTCGGTGGTGCCACCGAGTTAGCAGATCCCGGGAGGAGAGGGAGAGAGCCTCGCAAATAGCCTTCCTACAAGACAGCAGTGAGATGGGGATTGTCACATAGTGAAGGTAGTTATGGGTTGTGGAGTGCAAGGCTGAGTAGCCATAGCTGAGCAGAGCGAGCAGTGCTGTGTGGGGCAGCCATTGGCCCCGCTGGAGGACAGGCAGGGATGTGGGTAGCAGTACTGCTCTGGGCATGGCAGGAGCACCATGGGAGCCGTAGCCTTGGCCCTAAGGGCTGTATGCAGCACTGGGACAGGACCAGCAGCCATTTTGGTGGGGTGGGCCCTGGCCTCCTGCGGCTGTGGGGCCATTAGGCGTGGGGTGCTGCATGCTGCTCAGTGCCTCAAGGAAGGCTGAATAGCAAAAAGGAAAAATAAAACAACAAAGCATCTCAGCAGTCAGCTCAGAGTTGTTAGGAAGGGGCCAAGGCACTGCTTTGCAGGCATCTCTTGCTGTGGAAATGGATTTTGTGAGGGGAGGGTGGTGCATGCATGGGTAATCTCTGTAGTTAATGCAGTGCGGAGAAGGAAAAATGCCACTGAGCGGCCCCAAATGTGGGAGCAGAGGGGAGGGCAGGCAGGAGTTGACCCTGCATGGCTGCCCCACAGCCATGGGCACGAGGGCAGAGGTGATGCTGCTCCCCATAGACCAGGGGAGCAGAGCAGCAGCCCTGGGTAGCAGCTGTCTCCCTGTGCCGTGGCCAAGCTTGCCTGGTGCTGTAAGAGAGATCCTGTGAAGATTTTTGTTGCTGTCTCTTAGCTACAGCCAGGCATGCAAACAGCTTTCAGCCAGGTTGTGAGAGGTAAGTGGGGGAGGAGAAGAGGGGAGTGGGGGGGCACAGAGCAAGGGGCGGTGGGACGGGGTTGGGGCTCAGTCGGCCCCGCAGAGGCAAGCAGAGCTCCATGCTTCCTGAAGATATGTTGGCAGCTCTGCGAGGGTTGCCATAGTTTTTATGTAGGGTGACCAGAACCGGCTGGAACTGGTTTGAGGCAGATCAGCTCTTGAACACAATGCAGTCACTGAGCTGCTACAGTAGGATAGCTTCCACCCTCCATGGCAGCCAAAAGCAGAGGAGCTTGCAGAAAGATACCATCCCTAAACAGTATGTGAATGCACACTTAGACATACAGCACTGGTATGTGGCTATGTAGTCCTAAAGGGTTCTGTATATAAATGTACATATTTGCAGTAGCTGAGATGACTTGGGCTTTTTGTGCCTTTTTATGCTTACGGAATGGGCAACAGCTGAGATTTATGACCCTTATTAAAATATTTTTGCTTTGCAAGGGTGGGACACTGGTCGTGCAGTCTATTTTAAAGTGAAACTAAATAAAATAGATTGAATGATTTGTAATTGTAGCTGTGCTTGTAACTGAAGAATGCTGCTTTGCATGCTGGTTTTTTTTTTTTTTTTTACAGGGCACTGTCTTGTGGTTTTCTTCTTTAGGAGATGTTGGGGGGGAGGTCTGCACCTTTCTGAAAGGCCAAAAGGAAGCCGTGTTGTTGTGGAATTGTGCATAAATTGTGCATTCACTGCAAAGATGCTGCAAGGCATACTTGTTTTTCCTTTTTTTCCTCCTTGTAGGCCTATTGATTGGGACTGCCTTTAACCCTTTCATATTTGCGGAGTTAATCCATCTGTGGCAGTAACTGAGCGTTGGCAAAAAGAATATTTCAGAGGTCAAGGTTCACAAAGGTAAGATGGGTGTGTGAGTGTGACTGTGACAGTAGTGGGAAGGTACATGTGTGAAAAGTAAATCTGGTTCCTGATGACACACTTGGCACAGTAGTGAAAGAGACAACAGTGTATTATTGAAGAAATATTAACTTTCAGGTTTAATAGGATTAAAGGTATTGTTTGTAAAGATGTACTGATACCTGTGCTAAATATGGTATTTTCATTTCAGTATCTTACATCCAGATGTATGCTTTTTTACAGTCTAGTGATAAAGGATAGGCCTCTGAGTGGCAATCATAAATTGCAAACCACGTGGTAGTTTGTTTCTGAATTCAGGACTTCAGTGTTAAACCTGTACTTATATCCTACATAGAAAAACATACAGAATAGGGATGGTGTTTCTTAAACTGCTGTAACCCAGGGAGAATTGTGCAGCAGCCAAGTAGAGATGCATTTCAGAGGTCTGATGGAGCTCCAGTGAATTATTAGTTGCATGAATTATAACTTTGTGCAGTAATGGACTAAGACTAGGAAACCAGATGAGCAGTGCTTCAGCTCCTGAGGGATGGCCACTTTTAACTCAAAGCAGTGAGTAATGGATAGGATTTTTTTTTTTCTCATATGAAAAATAAATGTGTACTTAGATGTGATGTGGCATTTGAATCTTACAGAGAAAGCTGGAGGATTCAGAGGGAGGGAGAAGAAAGCAGTAACAAATATAGCAAAGGGAAGAACAAAGGCTGTTAGAGCTTGCACATTGGATCACTGAACATTTTGCCTTGGGGATTCTTTTGCCAGAACTGTTACTTCCTATAACAGGAAATCAGCAACTCTAGAATCTTATCCAGTGTGATTTTTTTTAAAAATCTGACCAGTCTTGGCTATGTTAGCTGCTTTGATAATCTGCAATCAAGATAAATATGGAGGCAAAATGGTGAATACATTCTGTTCTAGTGTGAAATGAGGGTCCTTCCCTCTGTGTCTTGAAAGCCCTGAAAGATTGTGGGATTTGGGTAAGTTTTATGGTGGCTGATGATGGGCAGAGTTCCTGCATCAGAGCATGGCAAATACAAGAGAACCTTTTTATTTCGGACTGCAGCAGATTACATAAGGTACTTAGATATTAATTGTAGGACAGTGAAAATAGCATGCCAATGTTTTGCTTGAAATTGTGTTTCTGTGGGTTTTAATGCAGCTGCAATGTATTTTTTTCTCAGAGTTGATAGGGCAGTAGGTAGCTTGTGTAGTGAAGCAAAATGCCTAACATCACTATGCTGATTTGTTTCCATCTTTTTTGTAATTTGGATGCAGACATTCTATATTTTACTGTAGATATCTGTAGCAAAAATATACTTTACAAATGTGAATTCATCTTGCTTGATAGAAATTATACCTATTGCTGCTGTTAATGCATGTTCTTTTTCCAAGGGCCGGATAAAATGAATGTAACATGAGAGCACTTTTTGGATTTTTTTTCTCTCAACCAGAATAGTAAGGTGCTTTAAAGTTTAAAATACTTGAATGGTCACAAAAATCAATGCATCTTTTTTATTTGAGTTTTTGAACAAGATCTGTACTATGAATTTTTATTTTTCACAAAGGAAGTTTAAAATTTGCAGGGATTTTTTTTTAGGTTGTAAGATAAGAAACCTGAATAGATGCTGGATTCTGCAGTATTCTTAGTGAGTTGGTGGGGTTTTTTTTGTTTTGTTTTGTTCTTAGACTATGAGTATTTGTAAATGTTCTTCATCAGGTACTTTTGCACATAGGCCATCTTCCCTGCAGAAAATGCTGCTTAACATTTGAGAGTTGGTCCTCTGTCTCTGCAGTCATGAGCTCAACTTCCACTGAGGCTTGTCTTGGATATTTGATCTTTAGAACAGGGGCAATGGTTTATCAAGTCCCAAATCTCTTAAATTAATCAACTATTTTTATTCTTCTTGGAAATTTGAATGTGGGATAAAATACAAACATGCACTCAGATTGCTGGGTTTGTATGTTTAAAATAAAAATGCATGGACCCTAATGGACCTGTCCATTGCTAGTGTTACCCAGGCAGGCCCTGCCTGACCTGGAGCTCTCACTGAGGCTGTCTGGAGCAGCTTCATGCTGTTATCCACTTAAAAAAAAAAATAAATAAATAAAGAAAATAGGCAGGAAGCAAGTATCATTTAGCATATGGCTCAAAATTGCATTAAATGACATGATTTAGCTATGGGACCCAATAGGTCAAGTTGATGGCTGGGCTTGATGATCTTGAAGATTTTTCCAGCCTAGATAATTCTGTGGTTCTAAATTGGAAATCTTAAAATCCACATTATTATTGTACATCTAAATTACTCACGTTACTGTACTGGCTAATTTTATGTTCAGGTGTACATCTCTCTATCATCTTTGAAAGGTCTTGGTGAATGGGAGAGGTGCCTGAAGACTGGAGGATAGCCAGTGTTACTCCAGTCTTCAAGAAAGGCAAGAAGGAGGATCCGGGAAACTACAGGCCAGTCAGCTTCACCTCTGTCCCTGGAAAGGTGATGGAACAACTTGTTCTGGATGCCATCTCCAGGCAATTGGAAGAGAAGAAGGTTATCAGGAGTAGTCAGCGTGGATTCACCAAGGGGAAATCATGCTTGACCAACCTAGTAGCATTCTATGATGTCATCGCTGGCTGGATAGATGGGGGGAGAGTGGTGAATGTTGTGTACCTTGACTTCAGCAAGGCGTTTGACACCATTTCCCACAACGTCCTTGTTATGAAACTTAGAAAGCATGGGATAAATGACTGGACGGTGAGGTGGGTTGAGAACTGGCTGACTGACAGAGTCAGAGGGTTATCATCAGCAGCGCAGTCTGGTTGGAGGGCTGTAACTAGCGGTGTTCCCCAGAGGTCGGTGCTAGTCTTGTTCAACATCTTCATCAATGACTAGTATGGAGGGATATAGTCCACCCTCAGAAAGCTTCCTGATGATTCAAAGATGGGAGGAGTGGCTGACACCAGAAGGCTGTGCTACCATTCAACAAGACCTGGAGGGACTGAGGAGTTGGGCAGGGAGGAGCCTGATGAGGTTGAACAACAGCAAGTGTAGAGTCCTGCACCTGGGGAGGAATAACTGCATGCATTAGTACAGGTTGGAGGATGACCTGCTGGAGAGGAGCTCTGTGGAGAAGTACCTGGGTGTTTGTCACGGAGTTGATCAGATCAATCTATGTCCGTGACAGGGGGTGACAGGCCTCTGCCCTCCCCCCCACCCCAGTCCCACAAAAAATGGGAAGGAAGGAAGGGAGGAAAAGAGCAGCGGCAACAATCTATGGAGGAAAACTTATTTTACTATAATATTGGAATACAAGATAACACAATATATACAATTTAATTGAAATTGAGATTAATAAATCAGACAAGATGAGAGAGAGAGAGAGTTCCCGGGACCGATTCAAACCTGAAAAGCTTGGAACGGCTAGGAAAGCACCCTCCAGCACCCACTGCCAGGCAGCAAGAGAGCGCCCCCCCCACCCAGAAGGACCAGATCCCATGACTGCTGTAATGTACAGGGATAGGTACCTGGGATTGGGGCAGTGACACTTTAATGCCCCGTACACTACATGATGTTTTGATGTGGAATACTGAAACCATAAAGAAAACAAAAACAAAAACATAGTACCATGACAGTGTTTTGGTGGACAACAGGTTGGCCATGAGCCAGCAGTGTGCCCTGGAGGCCAAGAAGGCCAACAGCATCCTGGAGTGAATTAAAAGGAGTGTGGTCAGCAGATCGAGGGAGGTGATCCTCCCCCTCTACTCTGCCCTAGTCAGGCCTCACCTGGAGTACTGTGTCCAGTTCTGGGCTCCCCAGTACAAAAAAGAAAGGGATCTCCTAGAGGGAGTCCAGCAGAGGGCCACAAAGATGATTAAGTGCCTGGAGCATCTCCCTTGTGAGGAAAGGTTGAGTAAACAGGGTGTGTTCAGCCTGGGGAGAACAAGACTGAGAGGGGATCTGATAAATGCTTATAAATATCTGAAGTGAGGTGGAAGGCAAATGGATGAGGCTAGGCTCTTCTCAGTAGTGCATAGTGAGCTGTTGCCAAACACTTGAACATAGAAAGTTTCATACAAACATGCGGAAGAACTTTACGGTAAGGATGATGGAGTAGTGGAACAGGTTGCCCAGAGAGGTTGTGGAGTCATCTTCTATGGAGATATTCAAGACCTGTCTGTGCACCTACCTGTGTGACCTATTGTAGGGAACCTGCTTTAGCAGGGGGGTTAGACTCAATCTCTTGAGGTCCCTTCCAACCCCTGTGATTCCATCATTCTGTGGTACTGTGAAAATCAAGCCATTTTAAAATAGCACGCAAATAGAATGGTGTGGGAGCTAAGCTACTTTTCATTAGTTCATCTTACTTTTGAGAGAAATTCAGGAAACTACAAGGCCCAAAACTTTGGATATTTTGAATTAATGGTTGGGAAAGGTTTATATTCTAGTTTTTTTTCTTCCTTAAGACATCCAAGTTTGTTTAAAGCATCTTTATTGTTGAGCTTGCATGAAAATATATCCAAGTCAAATGTGAACTGGTACTGCCTGTTATGGAAGCATTTTTTTATACTTTTCAAATTTCAGAATTTCCTTTTTAAAAAATTGAATGAGCTTCTCCTGTTACGTGGTATACATTTACAGATTATGTCTGAGGTTTGTGAGTAACAAATACAAGAAGCCTGAACTAGCTCCATTGCTGCTAAACAAGACTTCTATAGCCAGCTCTGGGCTCTGCTTGAAAAAATGTGCCTGCAGTTGTTCATGGATTTAGGGATAAAAACAGAGGGAATGTGGACATTTTTTTACATCTGTTTTGTTTAGGACCTGACTGCATGTAGCTAATTTTAGTCTCAGAAGACTAATGACAACCATTATATATGTTATATATCTGCTTTTGTCTCTATATATTTTTGGCTCTGTGTGGTAAAATCTATGTTTGTGTAAGTAGGTAGAAATAACTTCTCCTGAAAACTGAAATACTTCATTTAA